CATTACTGAGGCTTTCACAATTCTCGATTGCTTGTTTCACATTGTGTTGTGACTGAGTTGTAACATATGCTCTAAATATAGTATATTGAGGATTTGTGGAAATTACCATCCTCTGATATGCTCTAAATGTTGTGTAATTTAAGCTAATTAAACTAAATCTTAGCATTAAAGAGTAAAATGTAGTCTCCATATTTACAGCAGATCATGTTTGCACACCACACTGGCTTTTCCTCTGTGTCTGCATGAATGAACTACTCTTATGAAAATAGAGTATATGACGGAGAGAGAGAGAGAGAGAGCTGGATGTGTTTAAATGACTTGTTCTTGTTTGTGTTTGTGTAATTGCTGTGCTGTTTAGTTAATTTGAGAGGAGTTTGAACACTCATTATACTGGAGCTGCTTCTTTAGCTTAATAGGAATCAACTCATGCAGAAATGTTCATGTTTTAATTATAAGATGTGTGTGTGTGTGTGTGTGTGTGTGTGTGTGTGTGTGTGTGTGTGTGTGTGTGTGTGTGTGTGTGTGTGTGTCATTATACTGCCTTTACACAACATCTGTCTGTCTGTCTGTGTGTCTCTGTTTATCTATCCAGGTTTCTGTCCATTCATCCATCCACCCATCTATACGTCCTTCAATGTTTCTTTCAATGCATTAATCTGTCTGTCCATCCATCCATCCATCCATCCATGTTTATGTCCATTGTTCTATTCATCCATTCATTTATGTTTCTTTCAATGCATCCATCCATCCATCCATCCATCTTTCGAAGCTTCTTTCAATGCATCCATTCATCCATCCATCAATCAATGTTACTGTCCATTGTTCTATCCATCCATTTATGTTTCTTTCAATGCATTTATCCATCCCTGCGTCCATCCGTCTGTTCGGCCATCCATCCATCCATCCATCCATGTTTCTGTCCATTGTTCTATCCATCCTTTGATGTTTCTTTGAATGCATTATCCATCCATCTGTTCATCGGTCCGTCTATCTATTCATCCATCCTTCGATGTTTCTTTCAATGCATCCATCCATGTTTCTGTTCATTGTTCCATCCATCCATCTATCTGTTTCTTTCAATGAATCCATCCATCTGTCTTTACATCCATCCATCCTTCGATGTTTCTTTCAGTGCATTCATCCATCCATCCATCCACGTTTTTGTCCATTGTTCTGTCCATTTATGTTTAATTCAATGCATCCATCCATCCCTCTGTTTGTTCGTCCATTCATCAATCCATCCATCCATAAGATGTTTTTCAATGCATCCATTCATCTGTTCATCCATCCATGTTTCTGTCCATTGTTCTATCCATCCATCCATTTGTTTCTTTCAACGCATCTATCCGTCTGTCTGTTCATCTGTCCATCCATCTGTCCATCCATTCATCCTTCGATGTTTCTTTCATTGCATCTATCCATCCATCCATCCATGTTTCTGTCCGTTGTTCCATCTATCCATCCTTCCATGCATCCATCCATCTGTTTCTTTCAATGCATCCATGTGTATGTTTGTCCATCCATCCATCCCTCAATGTTTTTTTTTCAATGCAACCATTTATCCATCTGTTTGTCTGTCCAATCAGCCATCCATTCATCCATCCATCCATCTGTTTATTTCAATGCATCCATCTGTATGTTTGCCCGTCCATCCATCCATCCATCCATCCCTCCCTCGAATGTTTTTTTCAATGCATCCATTCATTCATCTGTTTGTCTGTCCATTCGTTCATCCATCCATCCATCCTTCGATGTTTCTATCAATGCATTCATCCATCTGTACGTCCATCCATCTATCCGTTTTTCTCTCCATTGTTTTATCTATCCATCCATCCATCCATCCTTCTTTCAATGCATCCATCTGTCTGTCAATCAATCTAAGCATCCATTCATTCATTCATCCTTGTCCATTATTCCATTCATCCATCCACTCCTCCATACAGTTTTCTTACTTAAGATTTCGAGACTAGAGAAGTCACTGAGAATGATGGAGCAGCAATGGTTTGTATGCGTGTGTGTGAATGTTTAAGAGTGCAGCTAAACCCCGCACACAGCAGGACGCGTCTGATTGTTTGTCTGCTGAACGTCATGCATCTCCTCTAAAAGCGTGGGGTTCAGAGCCCAGAGGACCCGCACGATAACAGCCATTACACCTCCAGACATCTGGCCTGAAGGAGTGATTGCGCCGCCAGCGTCTAATCATAACAGCGCTTTATTTATCTGAGTGATTGCATCAGAAGCAGTAAGGGACCCTGCTGTCTATTAAGCATACATGAATACACACTGTCTAGTGAAGGAGTGAGATGAGGGTCGTCTGAGGTCCAGCCGTGTGTGTTTGCGGTCCCACAGGCAGTCGAGCGATATATATATACACACACACACACACACACTCGACTTCACATAAAACCTGATGGAGAACTACTTACCCAAGGCAAGTGTGTGCTCCAGTGTCTGTACGCATTTAAAGGGACAGTTCACCCATAAACGAAAAGTTTGACATCATTTCCTCGTTCTTCTATTAGTTCAAAACATGTATGACTTTCATTCTTTTGTTGAACACAAAGGAAGATATTCTGAAGAATGTTGGAAAAACAGACGCTGCTTGTGCAAACAACAGTGCAGGCTGCCTTTTGCAACATTCTTCTGAATATCTGGTTTTGTATAGGGCTGGCTGTGTGTTTGCAATAATCTGCCATTAAATGTTAGAAAGGCAAAGTTGTCCATCCATCCATGTCTCTGTCCATTGTTCTATCCATCCGTTTATGTTTTTTTTCAATGCATCCATCCATTTGTCTGTACTTCCGTCCATCCATCCATCCATCCATCCATCCATCCATCCATCCTCTGATTTTTCTTTCAATGCATCCATCCATCCATCCATGTTTCTGTTCATTGTTCTGTCCATCCACCCTTTGTTTCTTTCAATGCATCCATCCATCCGTCTGTTCATTTATCCGTCCATCTATCTATCCATCCTTCGATGTTTCGTTAAATGCATCCATCCATCCATCCATCCTTTGATGTTTCTTTCAATGCATCCATCCATTTGTCTGTTCATTTATCCGTCCATCTATCTATCCGTCCTTCGATTATTCGTTAAATGCATCCATCCATCCATCCATCCATCCATCCATCCATCCTTTGATGTTTCTTTTAATGCATCCATCCATCCATCCATGTTTCTGTCCATTGTTCTATCCATTCATAATTTGTTTCTTTTCATGCATCCATCCATCCATCTGTTCATCGACCTGTCCGTCCATCCATCCATTCATCCTTCGATGTTTCTTTCAATGCATCCATCCATATATCCATGTTTCTATCCATTGTTCTGTCCATCCATCATTTGTTTCTTTCAATGCATCCATCCATCCATCCATCCATCCATCCTTCTGTTCATCCATCCATCCTTCGATGTTTCTTTCAATACCTCCATCCATCCGTCCAAGCATCCATCCATCCATCTATCCATCCATGTTCTGTCCATTGTTCTATCCATCCATCTATTTGTTTTTGTCAACGTATCCATCCATCCGTCTGTTTGTCCATCCGATGTGTCTTTGTTTCTTTTAATGCATTCATCCATCCATCTGTCTGTTCATCCATCCTTTCCATCCATCCATCCATCCATCCATCCATCCATCCATTCATCCTTCAATGTTTGTTTCAATGCATCTATTCATCCACCCATCCTTGTTTATGTCCACTGTTTCATCCATCCATTTATGTTTCTTTTAATGCGTTGACGCATATTCAAGGAAATGTGTTTTCCTCCTCATATTATTTCATAACATATAAATAAATTCATGTTAACCAAATGAGGACATTGCACAGACTGAGTGCAGTTTCACAGTTTAAATGATTATTATTTGTTGACTGTCTATTTGAGTTATTCGGACAGCAGGATTTTCCTGAATGCATCAAATGATGACATTTAGTGTTCTTGTTCTGTGAATATCTGAGAACAATGGCAGTAATTATTCCATTACGCAACATTAATAATTATATAACTCAAAAACCTCGTAGCGGATACTTCTGAGATCATTAAATGTAATTAATATAATGACGGTCTCCTTTACGATGATGATTATGGATGAAAACAGGAGGTCTGTTCATTAGCTGCAATTCTATTGGTCAGTCGGAGAGAATGAAGCACCTCCTATCAGCAAAGACACTCTCATTGTGCCATAATCCCCTCAGTATGAAGTACAGACCTAAACCTTCAGCTTTCAGAAGTAATAAAGGCATTAATAGATTAATAAAATCAGGCCTTATATAATGCAGGTTATTTAACGCAGCTTCACACTAATAAACAGAAAAATATCAGACAAATTTAATACTAGTCCCAAGAGGTTTAGAGGCCTTTAATCTAGTTTTGAACTGAGAGAGTGTGTCTGAGCCTCGGACATTATCAGGAAGGCTATTCCAGAGTTTAGGAGCCATAAATGAGAAGGCTCGACCTCCTTTAGTAGACTTTGCTATTCTGGGGACTATCAGAAGCCCTGAGTTTAGAGATCTTAGGGGGCGGGTTGGACTGTAGCGAGACAGAAGGTTGTCTAGATAAACAGGAGCTAGACTATTTAAGCTTTACAAGTAAGAAGCAATATTTCATAATCAATACGAAACTGAAAAGGCAGCCGGTGTAAGAGGATAACATTGGGGTGATATGATCATATTTTATAGACCTGGTAAGAACTCTGGCTGCTGCATTTTGCACTAACTGAAGTTTTTAATAGAGGATGCTGAGCAGCAATGAGGATGTGTGTGTGTGTGTGTGTGTCTGTGCTCCCGAACACTGCCTCCTGCTGGACACACACACATGCTCTTAGTCATTCACACTTACACACACAGACACACTCACAGAGACACTCTCATATACACACACTCAAACTCACACACACTCTCACTTAAACATACTCTCTCACACACAATATTTTACACACAGATACACTCTCTCTCTATACACACACACACACACACTTAATGTGAACATATTAAAACACTGTATAGCCCACTGCAGCATCTTGATATGCAATTAAAGTAGTGCTGTCTTTAAGTGCGGAGCAGATTGCATGTAAAGCACACATGAAGTATTTTAATTAAGTCGTCTTAAGTTGCTGCACCACTTTCGTCACGTTTGCTCATTTGCATAATTCGTTTAGTGACTGGTGTGTGTGCATAAACAGCGGCGGACATCCATGCTGAAGCCCTCGTGTGTTAAAGTGCATATCACGCTTTCAATTAGCATCTCACGTCCATTACATTTCAGTTGGCGGTTCATTCCGCTGTGGCGACCCCTGATAAACAATGCACTAAGCTGAAGTAAAATTAATGACATACAGTAGAAATGTCTAACTCTTGTCATTTTGTGTGATTTGATGTGACCTGGAGGGCGGCGTTCGCTGACCTGACATCAGAGTCTGAAGACTGACACACATCGCTCGTGATGAAAGCGGCGCGTAATGAAGCTGTCAGACCAAATCCCGAATCTCAGAGCCACAAATCCCCGGCGGACACAGAGCTGGACACGACAGCACTGATGGATGATGGGAGAAAACATGGCCTGACAACAGGAGGTCAGCGGCTCCATCTGATCAGCTGTGGTGAGAGGATTGATTCAATTCACACACAGAAACACACACACACACACACACACACACACACATGCTGTTAGCTGAACTCACGGGACTTTAAAGCTGAAAAGAGTTACTGGATGAAGAACAATGGCTACAATTAATGACGATATCTCAGACGATGCTGGGGAAAGTTACTTTAGAAAGTAGTGCATTACAATATTGAGTTACTCCCCAAAACAGTAACTATTTGAGTTACTCAGTTACTTTTAGGGTCAGTAATGTGCGACTATGCATTCACTTTTCTCACCTGGCTTGATCTCCTTCATAAATTGCAGGGTTTTTTTAATAGAGAAGCTCTGCATTTAACAACACACTCTATAACCTTCATTTACCTTTAAAAAACACATCAAAAATAATAATTTAGGATAATGTTATCTGCAGAGAACTTCCTGACCCTAGAGCTACACACACACACACTCACACACACTCACACACATACACATACTGCTAGCTGAACTCACAAGGTGGTGAAACTGATAATTTCTAATTATAATTTAGTATAGTGTTTTGTTCTGTAAACCTCCTGACTCCAGATACAGATACAGATTAATGAAAGTTTAAAGCAATGTGCTGGCTACTTTTGTACTTTCTATCACAAATTACGTTTGATAGACATTTTTGTCTTACTTAAACTTACCTCTTGCCTTTTTGATGGCAAAAGCTGTAGTTATATTAAAAAGATGGGAACAATCTTCAATTATGACATGTGCTTTCTGTTTAATTCTCATTTGATTAATTGCATATTACATATATTGATCATTTATTTTAATCCTGAATCATTTCAGTTGATTCTGATACATTTTTTATGTAAATTGCAAGAATTGGATTCAGAAAGAGTTTCCGGAAAACATTTAAAAAGTAACAGAAAACATTTAAAAACAACAAAAACATTTAAAAACAACAGAAAACATTTAAAAAGTAACAGAAAACATTTAAAAACAACAAAAACATTTAAAAACAACAGAAAACATTTAAAAAGTAACAGAAAACATTTAAAAACAACAAAAACATTTAAAAACAACAGAAAACATTTAAAAAGTAACAGAAAACATTCAAAAACAACAAAAACATTTAAAAACAACAGAAAACATTTAAAAAGTAACAGAAAACATTCAAAAACAACAAAAACATTTAAAAACAACAGAAAACATTTAAAAAGTAACAGAAAACATTTAAAAACAACAAAAACATTTAAAAACAACAGAAAACATTTAAAAAGTAACAGAAAACATTCAAAAACAACAAAAACATTTAAAATAACAGAAAACATAAAAATATCAGAAAACATTTGAAAAGTATCAGAAAACATTTAAAAACAATAAAAACATTTAAGAACAACAGAAAACATTTAAAAAGTAACAGAAAATATTTCTAAATAACAGAAAACTTTTAAAAATAACAGAAAACATTTAAAAAATAACAGAAAACATTTAAAAATAACAGAAAACATAAAAAAACAGAAAACTTTTCAAAATAACAGAAAACATTTAAAAAGTGACAGTAAACATTTAAAAATAACAGAAAACATAAAAAAAACAGAAAACATTTAAATAGTAACAGAAAACATTTTAAAATAACAAAAAACATTAAAAAACAACAAAAACATTTAAAAAGTGTCAGAAAACATTTAAAAACAACAAAAACATTTGAAAATAACAGGAAACATTGAAAAATAACAGAAAACATTTGAAAACAACAGAAAATATTTCAAAATAACAGAAAACATGTAAAATATCATTCTCTGAACGTTTAAATAATGATGTAATGGGATGTTTCATTAATGTTTGAAGATTTTAAAACATATTGAACATCCTATTTAACATTTTTGGAAACTCACACTCTAAAATCACGTTGGTTGTTTGTTCAAACTACTTATTTTAAATGAGACAACACAATTTTTGAGTGTTTGGGGGACTTCTTAATTGCCTTATGTTCAATCCACTTCAGTTTGTTAATACTACTAAGTGAACTGAATTCATTGATGTTGTTGTGTGGACCCCAGCATTTATTTCAGTGCATATCACTGTGAGAACAATCTGTTAGAAAATCTGTTCTTCTGTTGTATATTGAGTATATTTTAGCACTAAAGGATTTAAAAATAAGAGGATGTAGTCTATTTCTTACTAAACATATTGGATATGAAAAACTATGAAATTCAATAGTGTGTCTTCACTTCTTCCCCTGACTGTACATTTATCATGTACCAGCCTTCCTCAATTTACTAGCAATGTCTAAAACTGTCTGCTGCTTTTTGCACATAATTACAGGAAGACACGCCTGAAGTTCCTGTGAAGTTTGTCCAGCGATCTTCCCTCTGGATCAAGATAACATCAGCTGAAAGGGGATAAAGCTTTCTGATATTGTTCCTGCTTACTTTCAGATTCTACTTGCTTTTCCAGCTGCTCAGTGAGAAGCATGAGTTTATTTATACCGTACTATTGGATATGTAAGGCAAGAATATTGTTTTTCATGCTCTGGTCAGCTTTGAGATGTTTTATAATGTCTTTCAGATTACAGTAGTTGAAGGAAAGCAACAGCACTCTTACATTTCAATATCAATCTTTAATGGGAGTTTAGTGTTAAGAGTTTTATTCTGATAAACTCTCATCTAAAAGCTGATTATGCATGCAAAGAATGACAGATTTATTCCATCTATAGCCTGATTACATACACCAAATTACCCCATTTATATAACAATTTAACTGAAAGGTAATGCTTTAACATAACATGCACATGGAGGATTTCTGATCCATATTCATATTTTTAGATTGCTGAAAAGTGATGTTAAATGTGTCAACAAAATAAGAATTTCAAACTTTTATCTGATGTTCAGATTCCTGTTTCCCGAAATGTATGCAAATGAGGGCCTATTTAATTAGATAATGCTTCATTTGCATATTTCAACTGCACTTAATGTTTCAGAGAACAAGCTCTCCATTCTTAATGCAATCACTGGGGAATGTCTGCTGCTTTAATTTGCACCCTATTCAGCCGTCGAGTTTCACCTTAAAGTAATTTTCTCGCAACATTAACATGAAAGCATCATATATATGCGACGGGGAGCAGTTTTATTCTGATGCATTTCACTTGGATGCTTCTCTAACTTTTCTTTTTTCTCCTCTTTTTTTTTTTCAATGCAACTGCTTGTTTCATAGGGGTGGCACGGTGGCTCAGTGGTTAGCACTGTGGCCTCACTGCAAGAAGGTTGCTGGTTCAAGTCCCAGCTGAGCCAGTTGGCATTTCTGTGTGGAGTTTGCATGTTCTCCCCGTGTTGGTGTGTCATAGTCAGGGGCGGACTGACCATAGCGAGCACCGGGACATTACATTTGCCGGTGGCCTGACGGTCTATCTGGCCTGCCACTGTTTTAGTTTTAGCCTGGCTCATGCCTGGCACATGTTTACAGCACACTACTACATACTTTTAGAGAATTAAAGACTTCAGCTGGAGGAAAGATCACTCATAATGCAATTTAAAAGCAGAAATAAATGGGGGGAAATGCAAATAAAAACATGAATCACAAAATACGGTGAAGGATGAGGCGAGTGTTGGAAAAACAAATGCTGTAGAGGTCAATGCATTCCAGCGCTCTTTAACCTCTTAAGACCCTAGCTGTTTTTTTTTACATGTCTTTTTTATTTGTCTTTGCTATTTAGGCTTATTGTCACCTAATTACAATAAAACCTAAGTATCATCTTTTAATATTTTGTACTTTTAGAGAAAAACGATGCCCATATATGTGGTCTCGTGGTCCGAATTTCCATAAAACAGTTTTTCCTGACTGTTTTTAATGCATTAATAACACAAACATACTTTTTTTTTTTACATTTGACTATCAGAGACTAAAAACTATTTCTTTTGGCCATTTTGGACAGTTAAAAATAGGGTTTAGGACATTTCATATGCTGCAAAACAGTCACAGGATGACACTGTATGTCTGTAATAAGATATAAAACATTTAAATAGCCATGTATGTGGACACTCAAGCCCTGGGAAGATAAAAATGTCTTCTTCTGTGTTCGACAGAGGAAAGAACCTCTTAAAGGCTTGTAAAGGAAGACAGAGGTGTCCTCTTTGGTTGAACTACCCCTTTAAATGATGCATCACAGTATATAATGTTTGCATTATTACAGAAGAGGATGCTCAGCGAGTAAAAGCGCACAACTTTACTAACAATGCCTGTCGTCTCAGTCCAGCAGCTGCGAGTATCAGGTTGTGAACACGTGTGTGTCGTCCTCCCTCGTGTGTTTGCAGTAATTGCCGCTGCATTAGCATGAAGCCTGCGGTGTCCCTCTGAAACTCTGCATATATTAGCGCTGCGTGCTCCTGTATCACGGATAATAAGCGGCGAGCAGCTTCTCTCCTGGGCTTTTCTGCCATACCTGCACATGGACAGAAGCGCTCTCAAGTCTTCCTCAAGTGCTGCTTTATAACCCTCCTGACAAACACGCGCTGCTTTATAGATGTTTTTGTCCTCTAGCTGGATTGGTTTTCTTTTGAGAGTTTATTTCATGCAGTAATAGTGTCATGCGGCGCTGCTGTCCTCCGTATATCAGAACCTGAGAGAGGTTAGCTAAAGGACTTGTGGAGGTTTCTATTAGACGCTGATAAACTGCTCTGATTGTGTTCTTCTGCATCTGCTTTAATCGTTCTGCTGCAGCCTTTTAAACACATTATTCATTATAATTACAGTTGAAGAATCGGGATGAGCTTTGTGACTTAAAAGATGTAGAAGATCCCTGTGGAAATTGTATATGTGTGTCATATATTTATACACTGTATAAAGAGGCACATAAGCATTTTAAAAAGAGTCAGATGTTAATTTGACTAAACTTTTTCTCTTTTAGGTAAGTTAGGATGATCACAGTAGTTTCTGTTCTGCTTAATAGCAGAATAATGAGAGAGATATTGTTTGAGAAATTGTTATAACTTTTCTTTATAGTCAAGTTTACATACAATAAGATTATTCTGCCTCTGAAAAAGCTCAGATGATGGTTTCAAGGAAGTTTCTGATTGGCTTATTGACAACATTTGTGTTAATTGGAGGCACAACTGTAGAATAGTATATAAGGAAAACCTCAAACACACTGCTTCCTTGTGTGACAACATGGGGAAATCGAGATTACAATTTGCTAATCTAGACTGGGAAAAAGACTAATGTTTGGAGACATGTCCTGTGTTCTGATGGAGCTAAGATTGAACTGTTTGGCCATCATGACCAGTGTTACATTTGGAGGACAAAGGAGAAAGCTTACAAGCCTAGAAAACCATCCTAACTGTGAAGTATGGGGGCGGCAGCGTCATGTTGTGGGGCTGTTTTTCTGCAGGAGGGACTGGTCCACTTCACAGCATAGATGGCATCATGAAGACAGAACATTATGGAGAAATACTGAAGCAACATCTCAACACATCAGCCAGGAAATTACAACTTGGCCACAAATGGCTCTTCCAAACAGACCATGACCCTAAACATACTGCCAAATGAGTTCAAATGTGCTTTAAGGACAACAGAGTGAATGTTTTGGAGTGGCCATCACAAAGCCCTGACCTCAATCCTATAGAAAATGTGTGGGCAGAGTTGAAAAAGCTTGTGCGAGCAAGACAAGTTACACCAATTCTGTCAGGAGGAATGGGCCAAAATTCCTGCAAACTATTGTGAGAAGCTTGTGGAAGGAGACCCAAAACATTTGACCAAAGTTATACAGTTTAAAAGCAAATCTAAAAATAACAAGGAAATGTGTGTAAACTTTTGACTGTCTAGAAATTAATTAATTCTCAAAAAAATCAAGGTTAAGGTGCTCCAGGATTGGCCAGGCCAGTCACCAGACATGAACATTATTGAGCATGTCTGTGCTAAGATGGAGGAGGCATTGAAGATAGACTCAAACACAAAGGATCTTGATGAACTCTGGGAGTCCTGCATAAAGGCTTTCTTCTTCATTCCAGATGACTTTATTAATCAGTGATGTGAGTCATGTCAGAGATGTATGGATGCAGTCCTCCAAGCTCATGATGGAGTCAGACACAATATTCATTCTGTCTCCACTGCAGCAGGACTTTATATTCTATACTGGACATTATTTCTGTTCAGTGATGAGACTTTAGTCCCTCACTGTTCTAATGAAATCATTCAAGATTAAGACATGATCATATTTTATTGTGCTTAAATAAGCGTCATCTAGAGGCCTTTACCTTTCATATAAGACACTTTTGATACCGAATCATCAACTACAAGTTAACTTATTTGGCGTTTCTAAAACTTGGATAGACAAGACTTTTTTCAGCTAGTGTATACATTTACTATATATATATATATATATATATATATATATATATATATATATATATATATATATATATATATATATATATATACATATATTCTATTTAAGTGTTTTACTGTGCTAATGAATCTGAATTAAATAAAAAAAAAGTTTACTTCTACGGTAAATACTATAATAAACATTTGGATCAGTAAAAAAAATATAAACAAAACCGCACAGATTATAATATAAACCACTGGTAATATGCAAATTAAATATGCAAATTTTGAGGTTTGTTTACTCTTAAAGACCAGAGTATTGTTTATGAATGAGTAGATCTACTAGTAGATGATATTAGCCCTGCACTGCCTCTTATATTCATATTTATTGTACATTATTCACATCTCAAACTCAATCCAGATAATCTCTTCATTTATGAAAGCTGCCACCAGCACATTAATACTCTTCAAACCAACTTTCTGAAACAGATGAAAATAATCTGTATATAATATAATATATATAATAATATTGTATATAATGTTAAGCCAAAATAAAAAATTTGTTCTGTATTTCTGTATAGCCAGTGTTAGGGGAAGAAGTTATATATTACAATATTAACTCACTTATACGTTACAATATGTTACTTGTTTGCTTTTACTGATAGTAATGTGTTAAAAACATGTGTTGTGACTATAGTTATTTTTAAGCGTAAGATTGGCTTATATATTATATATTTTCTTCAGCTTGTAGCAGAGTGAAGTGATTTGTATGACAATGTGAGGACTCTTATTATGATATGATTCATAAGCTTGAGGCGTAGTTTAAACAGAGACATGATTTATTACAGTGCTGTTTAACTATTTAATTCTGAAATCGAGGTAATATTGTCTTCATATTTTCGAGATATTTATTATAAATTGTCTTGTTTATTTAATTTGCGTTATGGGTATTTTCCGTTTTATGCAAGCTCTGGGGTGGTGGGTGTGGACTGGGACTTTTATTCTGAAGTGTCTTTGGGCGCTAGTTTGATAGCGGAAGTTCGTGCCGCTGGTGGCTGCAGTTCAGGCGGATCCCGTCAGTGTCTGATCACAAACTTTCTGTCAAACCCGAAAAACACACAGAACCCGGTAAGTGTTCCGCTGAGCGACCGTACACACCGGTCAAACAATCGGAATCATGAGTTGACAACCGAAAAACCGGCGCGAGCCAGTTGAGGAGCGCAGGCCTGTGATACACTGTCTTTCTCTCTGTGTGTGTGTGTGTGTGTGTGTGTGTGTGTGTGTGTGTGTGTGTGTGTGTGTGTGTGTGTGTGTGTGTGTGTTTTCAGGTGACATGGGGGATAAGGAGTTGATGTGGGCCCTGAAAAACGGAGATCTGGATGAAGTGAAGAATATTCTGGTTAAGGTGAGAAACACACACTACATCACACACACACATTCATAAGCGTGTACAAACAGGTCTGACAGCACTTGCAGGTTTATAGACCCTTTGCAAAACAATACTATGAGGGTACCATAATGTTTTATTTACACCATGGCACTGAAAGAATAACAGTCACAACATAATAATCATGTTTATGTTTAAACGTTTCCTTTAATATCACAATACAAGAACAAAAGGCTTAACTTTACCCTATTTAGTTGCTTAAATCGTTATAATTACATGTTAGCTGGCTGTAAAACTAACAAAATGATGTTTTCTATCAGATTATTATGTAATAAGAAGCTTAAACCTGACAACAGGTTGTTTATTATTAAAATGAGCAAGATCAAGTCTGTGAAGTGATTATTTATTAATGTAATGCTGTTGTTTCATTATTATTATTTTCAATTCTGTCTCTTTACATCTATTCTGCTTCCTAAATGTTCAATAATATGGCTTGTTAATTATTGTTTTTCTATGTTAAGATCTTTGACTCAATCTAAATGGTAAAAGTGCTATAGCAATAA